CTGACAAGTAGGAATGTCTTTCTTTTTATTTATTTTTGTTAGGAGTAGAAGTTTCAAAGAGAAAGGCTTCATCTTGTTGTAAGAATGAGCTTCTTAATAATCAAAGGTATTGCGCAGTAGAATGGCCTGGAGGTGGAGAATTCCTTTCATTTGACATCTATAAGGAAAGTCTGAATGAATACTTGTCAGTTATATTGGGAGGGTATCAGTTTTCAGATAACCAGTCAGATGACATGTCCACAGATCCTACCATGTCTGAATTCTAAGATTCTATGATTTCTGATGACTTCCAATTTGAAGGGTTAGGACATTTGAGATGGGCCTCGGATTATGGGTACGACTTTCAAATGTTGCAAATTTACAAGTTTGGACTCACTTTAAAGTTTCACACATATATAAAATTGAATTTAGCTGTATTCTTTTTATCTTGATAAGTTAATTGCATTTATAACTATAAGAAATGTACCACATGTTTGAATAAGAAGACATTGAAAAGGTATCTGAATATTTACATATACTCAAAATTATTTTGCGAGTTGCAGTATTTTCCCCCATATTATCTTATTTTTGTTCTGGATACAATGTAGTCTTTTATTGTGAAGATGAATCTTGAAGCCTCACTAGGTAAAACGTTCATCGTTAAAAGGATGAATGAAACCCAGGTATCTAGGCCTGATGCATTAACTCCCATTCCAAAGGAGCCTCACACAGCATCTTGAGCCTGAATTATGCCTCTGTCCTGTTGTAGTAATTGGAGAATATATGAAGGAAGAAGGAAACAGAAAGGGTCTAGTGGGGTGAAAAATAAAACTGGGACTAACGAAGGAGACTCAGAGACAGAGATGCTAACATGAAGGAAAATGGAAATGGACAAAAAGACAACAGAGCTGGGATTAGTCAGAGTTGTTTCTATCTTCTTCAATCCTATTAAGTTCAGCACCACATGAAAGGATTAGAAGTTTAAGAAACAGAAATCAATAGCAAGAAGTATAGTTAAAAGAAATTTCAAAGCCTGAAGAGAGGGAAGCCTGAAGCTAGGATGAAAAAAAAAAATGTCACCTGGTGAAGGGAATAGTGAAGGAAGGAGGGGTCAGGGAGGGGGCAGTTTTAATAAATAAAAGCAGAATTTGAAATCGAGGCCGAAGGAAGCCACTGATAGCAGGAGTCAAAGAGCATGTATTTTGAGTGGGGTAAATGAGCTTAGGAAATGACAGGTGTGCTGAAAAAAGAGGCCATAGGAAGAAAGTGGAAGACCGGGATAGCCTTGAGCACTCTTCCTTTCGAAGAGCTTGCTGTGGGGGAATATGTCAGTTCCAATAATATGACGATGAAAAGACAGGTCATGGTGATGAAAGTACATACAAGCAAGAAGGAATCATGGAGCGGTTCACAGACACCTCTTCTTCACCCGGGCTGTCTCTGTTGGACACCCCGATTTCCCTTCCCTTCCCCCTCTCCACAGCCCCTGAGGCTTGGACCAGCAGGTATGTCTGCCTTTTCCTTCACCTTTACAGAACCCAGGATGAGTTGATTAGACAAAGCCTTTGATGAGGAGGACTTTAAATCCAAATTTATTGAGAAAAAGAGATTAGTGATTCACAAAGGGGAAAATCTTTTCCCCAGTCTTCCCCATTGTCTAAAGTAATAGATACTATTTACAAACTTGAACAGCTATAAGTTCAATTCTGTTCAACAAAAATAGTAGCATACCTTGTCCTTAAGGACCTGCATTCTACTGGGGGAGACAAGGAGAGTAAGTAATTAGGTACTTAAACATAAAGTTTATGCCAAGTGATTTCATAAAAGAGTAATTAACTACTTGGGGGGGGCAGGTAGATCAAGAAAGGATTCCTAAGAAATGACATCTTGGCTGAAAGAAGGCAGGGATGCTAAAAGGTAGAGATGAGGAGGGAATGGATTCTAGACAAAGAGGCTACTGGGCTCTTCACTAAAACCTCAGTGCAAAAAGTGGAAACTTGGCAGGTGAAAGTGATGTGCATGCCAGGGGAAACTAAGCATTACTTTGGAGCTGTTTTCATTTTTATCTTCTTCTCTCTTCCCCTCCCTAATAAGTTTATATGCTACTTACTTTAACTTGCATGACTAATGAAAGTGAATATCTATCTGTACATAGGCACATAGGCATGTATGCATAGGTGTATATAAATGTGTGTGTATACACACACACACACACACACACACACACACATACACACACAGAGGTTAAAATAGATTCCAATCCAGATGAATGAGTAGAAGAGAAACAGAACAAGATAAGTAAATGAAGAAAAGATAAAAGAAGTATAACCCAAAATTTTCAGAGAAAGAAAAAGAAGAAAACAGAGGCAGTGCTGTGCTGTACAGGAACTTTTTCAAGTGAAGTCAGTAAACATTAAGCTCCTCCTATGTGCTAGGCATTATGCCATGCTAGGAATATAAAGGCATAAGAATGATAGTAACAATAAAAACAGAGCCCCAGATCACCATAACTCAAAGGCTAATGGGGGAGACAAGTTGCAAACGACTGTGTACAAACAAGATAAATTAAGGTGCTAAGATTAAGAAGGACAGAGAAGGTGGGACTTCAGATGAGAAACAAAGCAAGCCAGGGAAGCCAGACTGAAAGAAAAAGAAGAAAGAGAGAAGTTCCAGGCACGGCGAAGAGCCAACACAAATACCCAACGTTGAGATGAAATGTTGTGTGCTAAAAATAGTGAGGAAGAAAATGTTACTGTGGAGGAGAGTAAGATGCAAAAAGACTGGAAGGAAGGGGCAAGGTTATAAAGTGCAATAAATCCCAAACAGAAAACTTTGCATTTGATCAAAGAGGCAATTGGAAGCCACTGGTGTTTCTTAAGTGGGTGGGTGGTGGATTGGTATGGACAGATTTGTGCTTTGGGAAGATCAATTTAACAATGAAGGGTGGACTAAAGTAAAGAGAAACTTGAGATGGGACCAACTAGAAGGCTATTGCAATAGTCCAGTGATGTGGGACTGTATCAGAGTAGTGGCAATGTCAGAAGAGAGAAGGAGGAGAGTGTAATATAAGAAATAATATGAAGGCTAAAATGACAAGACTTGGCAACTAATTGAGTATGGGGGAGATGAGAGAGGTATTGAGAATGACATCTAGGTGTGAGTCTGAGTGACTGGGAGGATGGTTGTATCTTTGATAATAATAGGAAAGTTAGGAAGAGAAGAGGGTTTTGGGGAAAGGTAATGAGTTCAGTTTGGGGCCATGCTGAGTTTAAGTTGTCTATGAGACAGCCAGTTTGATACATCTAATACACAGTTGGAGATGTGAGATGGGAAGTCAAGAGGGAGCTTAGGGCTAGAAATCTAGGTTTGTTAGTCATTTGCATAGAGATGATAACCGAATTCATAAGAACTGATAAAATCACCAAATTAAATAATAAAGAGAGAGAAGGAAAAAAGGGACCAGGTACAGAAACCTGTGGAATCTCCACAGTTAGCAGGTTTAACTGTATAAATATAGGCTACAACATCTCCCATTTCTTGACTTTGCCCAGGCTCCCACCAAGCTTGAAACAGCATTCCTCCTAACCTCACCGTAATGGAATCCTTATTTTTCTTCAGGGCTCAGCTCATATTCCACCCTAAATAGGAAGCCTAGTCTGACCCCACCAGTTTCTAATGCTTAACTATTATTAGACATCAAATGGCTGATGCCATCCTATATTACTTTGGATTTACTATCATTGTTGTCCATTCATTTTCAGTCATGACCCCATTTGGGGTTTCCTTAGCAAAGATACTGGAGTGGTTTTCTATTTCCTTCTCTAGCTCATTTTGCAGATGAGGAATCTGAGGCAAACAGGATGAGGTGATTTACTCAGGGTCATGTAACAATGAGTTGTCTGAGGCTGGATTTGAACATGTATACATATGTGTATGTGTGTATCTATACATATGTGCATATACTTGAATATACATATATCAGTAATCAATCCAAGTAAATAATAAGGAACAGGAGTTACTTTCAGTTCCCTGGACCTCACCCATGCACGCACACATGTACGTGTGTGTATGCATGTATGTAATGTGTATATACTTTAATTTTCTGTATACACATTATTTTCCTCAATAGACCCAATGAGTACCTCGAAAATTGCTTCATTTTTCTCTTTAGATCCCAAGCACCTGACACACCACCAGCATAATAGGGACCTAAGAAATGTTTGGTGAATAACTGGATGAATGACTAGACCTCTGAGTGAGAAGAATGTCTTTATTCTTTCTCACTTGGAGATCAGTATGTTTCCATTGCTGGGTAAAATTGGATGAAGTGAACTGTAAGTAGCTCCTGCTTCTTATAATTAACTTGGATTGATTATATGTATTCATGTACACACATATACACACATGTTGTGTATGTGTATACATACACCATTGACCATTTAAAAATTAATGACCCACTTTGTCTATAAGGGAGGAAGGAACCAAGTTGCTGCTTCCTCACATGCAAGTATCTCTACCAGTTAGGGAATAACAAAGTAAGAGGAGAGCCAAAAGGAGCATCTTTTTTCTCTGTGGTCATTAACTGGCCATCACAGGTCTCTGCAGATTGTATTATTGGCATATTGGCATTAGATCCCTTTCCTTTGCCTCCCCCACCCCAACCCCCTGCTTTGTAATAACATCTGCTGCCCCTCAAACCAGAGTTTTTGGTTTTGGGAGTAGTGTCCAGAACACTATGGGGATAATTAGTTTTGGATATTCCTGTTTACTGTAGTCAGCCATGAAGAAAGTGCTTGTCCAGAATTTGCCCTAGGATTTTTGTTGGTTTGTTTTTAACCTATCAAAAAGGCATCCTTTTAATAAAATCTGAGTCAGGTTCCTTCTAAAATGTGGGTGTGCCCACTGGTCTCTGGTCAATGAAGAATGATGACACTTAGCTTTCCAGGACTGTGCCATCTGGTATGGGGGCAGCAAAGATCTGACACTCTTGGGTAACTTCATCTTTCTACTTCTTGTTTCAGTACCGGATACCAGTTTATTTACTATTCACCTGAAAACACAGCGAAAGCAAAGGAAGTTCTCGGCAACATCGATCAACTCCAGCCCCTCATATCAACCCACGCAGATGGGCTGCTTAATTCTGCCAGCCAGCACTCTCCAGACAGCCTGAAGAATTCTTTAAAGATGCTTTCAGAAAAAGTAAGAATCAAATTGTAGCTAGAATGTAGCATGGTGGGAGAAGGAGGGGGAAATATAATAACCAAGTCCCCACTGAGCTTTCTTTCTGTATGAATTGCCAATCATAGCAATGGGAAATGTGAAATATGCTCATTTGAAAAATAATCTTTAAAGCATTACTGAAAGATGAGAAGGGACTAGTCTTATACCTGATTCAGATAGTAGGGAGTATTTTTTCCCCATACAGTGAATGAAACCTTTTAGAGACTCAGATTTATTTTCTCTTTCCTTATCATTACTGTCATTTCCTTCCTTTGGTCTTGGCTTTTGTGACATGAGTGAATTCACATTGGAATCTTTTTATTAGTTTTATTCTTTCCTATGGTGATCCATCCAAATTGACTAAGTATGAACCACTCTGTATGAAAATAGCAATGTCTTCGCATTCAAATCAGAGAAATAAGGGTGCGTTGCTTTTGATCCTTGTTCTATTAGTGGCTAGGACATATCTTCTAACTGCTGTCTGCTTCAGTTTTTCTCTCTACCAAAGTAGGCTAAGGCCATAGATTGGCAGCTGGAAGGATACTTACATATCACCGAATCCAACGCCCTCCCCTTGTCCGTACGAGGTAACTGAGGCCCAGCTAGGGAATGTCACTTGCTCAAAGTCACACATCTTTGAGCAGCAAAGCTGGGATGCTAATCCAAGTCCCCTGACTCCTAAATTTGCTGCTGCACCACATTAATAAATATTAATTTAGTGTTTGAGAAAATGTTGAAAGGCAGGATTTTCTACTGGAGGCCTCCACAGCTGCCTGCAGAGATTAGAAATAGCCTCATGGGACACATGAAACTATTGGAACTCAGGATGTCTGTTTTAGGTCTTCCTGAAAACCAAGCCCAGGAAACATCAGCAAGGAGAAACAGCCAGATAAGGCCATCATCACAGGGAGGTTAAGTGATTTGTCTAAGGTCATAGAGCTAATAAGTAGCTGAAAGGGGATTCTAACAAGCTTAGGTCTTCTGACTCCAAAGCTAGTTCTTTTTCCACTGTGCAGCATTGATTCATATTCACATAATGTTGGAGAAGCTTTGCAAAGTAGAGCATAATTTTCTAGTAGGGACTTGTATAATTGCCTGCGGAGATCAAAAACTGTCTGCCACTAACAACATATGTGCTTCAGGTCTCCCAGAAGACTATGTTTTAGAAACATCAGCCAGGAGAACCAGTTAGAGAAACTGCCCCATAGTACAGAGGCTCCTAAGGAAAAGCGAAGCGATAGGTGGGAAACTGGCCTAATGCAGTGGGAATGAAGCCCAGGTATTGGACTGCATTATAATGAGAACACATTTTTGTGGAGCACTTTTGGTGAGAGAGCCCCTGTGGAAGGATACCCAAGACAGCTCTCTGGGACAGAAGGATGACACCAAAACAAGGCTCCAGTGTAATTCTGGGTAATCCCTTCCCAGCAACTTCCTGGGTGTGTGATCCTACACAAGTGAGTCAGACTTTTTCAGTCGTGTTTATCTCATTGGTAACATGGGTATAATAGTAGTACCAAGACCAAGCAGTTATTATAAGGATGAGGTGAAATTAGACTGTCAGGGATGTATTTAGTGCTCATTATTTCTTCATTTATTTATTTGTTTGTTTGTTTTTTAGGTGTATGGCACTGTGGTAGGCACTGGGGAAGCAGAGACTGAAATGAAATGGTCCTTGTCCTTGAGAAGCTTATGCACTCTTGAAAAGGGTAGGGAACAATAAATAACATAAACACAGAAAAGCAAATGTAAAAGCACATATGTATACATACATATGTATATTCATATCTACACACATGCACACATATAGATATATGCATGCATATACAAACAAATATGTATACACACATACACATAAATATATACATGCATATACACACAAATATATACATGCACACACACAAATATATATACACACATATACATATATACACACATATACATGTATCGACAAAGAAATATATATATACACACATACACATATATATACATGCATACACACACACACACACATATATATATGCGTGCATACACACACACATATATATACATGCATATAAACACAAATATATATATATATATTATATATACACACACACAAATATACATATACATACATACATATATGTTTATACAGGCACTTTCTCATTTTGGTCTTTGCTTCCCCAGTGCCTACCATAGTGCCATACACCTAAAATGATAAATGAATGAATAAATGAATGAATGATTGAAGTAAATAGTAGTAAATATAAACACATACACATATATGTATTTACAAAGTAAATAAATTCTGTTGATGAGGATACAAATAATCAGTTCACTTCCTATAGGAGGTGGTGCTTGGGAAGCCAGCCTTGGCCACTTACTGGCTTTGTTACCCTTGGCTCTCTGTGCCTTAGCTTCCCATCTATAAAATGAGATGGTTGAACTAGATGATCTCTAAGGTTCCTTCCCACCTAATTCTGTATTATTGTGATTTTGTGAGTTGGAGGTGAAGAGGGAATGCATTCCATATTGTCTGGAGAATGCGCAAAGTCTTGGAGACAGGAATGAAATGTTCTGTATAGGAATGGACAGATAGAGTAGTTTGACTAGGACAATGAGTTCACAGAGGAGAGTAATGTATAATAAGCCTGGAAAGAAATTCTGAATTCAGAATATAAGCAATATTAAGTTTAAACACAGGAGTTAGTATTAGTAAGAGAAAGTCATTGGAACTTCTTGAAGTGGGGAGTGACATGGTCATATATATATTTTAGGAATATCAGTTTGGTAGCTATGGGGGAAAATGGATTAGAGGGGAGGTTACTGGAGGCAGGGAAATAAATTAGGAGGCTATCGCCTGAACAAGGGGACCCTGGACTTAAAATTCAGGAAGACTTACCTCCAAATTTCATCTCAAACACTTAGAAATTATGTGACCCTGGATAAGTCACCTTCCTTCTCTGTGCCTCAGTTTCCTCATTTATAAAATAAGGGAGTAGGACTAAGAGGCCTGTAAGGTTTCTCCCAGCTCTCTGTCTATGCTCCTTTGATCCTATGAATGTTGTTAATGGGGATATGCAAGAGAAAATAATGGAGGTAGTATTGACTGGGCTTGACAACTGTTTGGATACAAAAGATGAAAGAAAATTAAATCATCAATAACTCTAAGGTCTTCCAGAAGAAGATGGTGCCATCAACAGAAATAGGAAAGTTAGAAACAGGGGAGGATTCGCTGGAAAAAATAATGAGTTATAATAAGTTGACTTTGAGGTGCCTATGGGTATTCAGTTGTAAAGGGTAGATGGTAATGTAGAAAGAGGACTAGACCAGGGGTAGGGAACCTGCAGCCTCAAGGCCACATGTGGATATATATGACCATCAAACCCAAAAAAGACTGCGTATGTAAAGCCCTTTACAAACACTGCATAAATGTGACCTGTTGAAATTATTATTCAACTTCCTGAAAAGAAAATTTAACAACTACCTCCGAGTATTTAGCACTAGCATGATTTTGAGTGCTTAAAAGATGTGGCTTCTTATTAACATTAGTGATGATGAAACATTTCTCAGCTGCATGAATTTTTTTGGAAATATAATGTGATTTAAAATTCCTTCAGGTATTTGTGTGTGTGTGTGTTGTGAGACACTATAGACAAAGAAACCCGCTTAACACATTAGCTTCTAGTCTGTGGCAAAGGGCAAAGGAGAGAAGAAAAGGTTGTTTCAAGACAGAAGCACTACAAGATGAAGGTGGGGTGGCAAAATCAAATAATTAGGGCTCTTTGTTGGATTTCTTCAGCCTCTTAGATTCGGTGAGATTTTTCTGGGTGCACCTAAGCTGAAAATTACAGCCAATACCATATCCATGCAGTGATTACCAAGCAGTATTTATATTCTTCCTGTGCACTGGGCAGGGATTTGTCATTTCATACATCATTTACAACTTACTGCAGTGAGTGATTCTTTTAGGGGGGTTATTTTTCTCCTCATTTAATTCAGCAGTGCTCAAACTTTTTTCCCCTCCTTTTTCTTCCTTTGACTAGATTACCTTTACCTACCAACAAATCTGTCAGCACTTGAAACTACAAAGAGATTTTTTTTAAGTTGTCTGTGTCAGATATTTCTTTTTTCTATGATTTCATGCCTGGAATTGCAAAGAACCTATTAAGTTAACCAAACTCTACATAGCATAAGATTTCTGTTAGTAGATTTCAGAGATAAAAACAGAGAGATTCTGTTTATGTAGTGTAGCAAAATTGGTTTGGGGCAGAATTCACTATTTAAACATATACTTTTGTTATGACTTAAGGTGCAGTAGAAATATTATTTTTCAAGTTTCAGAGTTCTGTCTATGTGTAGAGAAAAATATGGAAATTCTTACCTCATTGATGTATTTTTTTTATTCTTTCTTTAAGGTAGAGCTGATATATATATAGGTCATAAGCTTTAGAGCTAGAAGGGACCTTAGAAATCATATAGAGCAACCCTCATATGTTACAAATGAGGAAACTGAAGGCCAGAGAGATAAAGTCTTTTGCTTAGTTTCATGTGACTTGTAAAGCCAGGAATCTAGCAAATTTCCCCATTTCAGATTGCTGGCTCTTTCCACTAAATCACCTTATTCTTCACCAGAAATTGGCTTATATTTTTAATTTTAAAAAAAGAGGCTAACTCATTTGTATAGACACACAGAGAGACTTAAGATGATTATAACTTTAAGGAGAGGTCTTTCTAACATTGATCTCTAGACACAAAAGCTTTTGTCTAATAGAGAACTTACTTTTTACCTATCATGCTTTTTGACATGACCATTAGCTAAATAATGCATATAGATAGGCTCCTCCTCTGTGTTATACAATTTTAACATACCATAGCCCTGCAGTGAGAAGCGTAAAATTCTTAAAAATGTTTTGGTCCTGGTCAGATAAGGGGGAAAAAAGGATAAAGGAGTATCTATGTAACCAAAATTATGCAGCTACAGTGTACATGAACCA